TACCTGTAAATAGCATAGCTTAATACTCATTAAAAAGCTATCTAGCTCTGTACAGAGGGTACCAAGAGGCAATAGATCTGCCTTAATAAATCACGTCATGGTTGACTCTGCAAGATTTAGGTTAGGGGGGATTGAACCTAGAAGGATGCTACTCATAGTGACTTCAATCACTGGGACTCATGAAAACTGCAGGGCCTCTATCATCTTCCCATTAACACTGGGACTTCTACCTGTCCCTGTTTGCCCTGCATCATCTTAGGATATGGGGTTTGATCTTTCCAATTACTGTGATGACATTTTTCATTTGTGACAAATGGCTTTTGGATGAAAATTGCAATTCAAGCAAAATTACAAACTACTGCCTTAAGGAGGCATTTTATTTGCTAACTCAGGCTGTGTGAAACTTGTTCCATGTATCAAAAATGAAAGTGAAGCATATCTGATATTTTAAAACTTGATAAATTATTGACAATGGAAAAATGCCCCGAGTTAATCAGTCTGATGGTTTTGTCACCATTTGTCCCTTGAGGATTCAGAAGTAGTGGATCATGCTTTAATGTTGGTCTGCCCTCATCATTTGGAAGAGAAGAAACAAACATTGCCTCAGCTCATCAGTGTCTGCAGCTGACTCAATCAGCTGTAGAACTGAAGGAAAGGAAACATAAATTGACGTGGAGAAAACGTTCTCCCTGCAGCTGCAGAAGCAGCGATGGTTGTCAAAAGCTGAACTTTATCCCTTCAAAGACCTGTAGTTGGGGTTACTGATCACTTCATCTCATTCACTGGTTGGACTTTATATAGGTGACGTTTGGAAGAAAGGTACTGCTTCAATATATTTTACTTAATTTATTAAAACAAGTTTATTGCAAGATTGCACTAATAAGAAATGCAACTTTTGGCACACATTTAGAAAGGAAAATCAACATTATAAGCTTCTCTTTCTAACATCTGCTACTGTTTCTTCTTTTCTATCACAACCACAGCATGTAATAGTCCCACAAAACAATTGTAAAATATAAAACATTTTGCTTGCTTTGAGACTTGCAACTCGTAGTTTGTGTTGCAGAAATGCCCTGCCTGGAGGTCAGCCTGTTGCATTTACTCACCTTGGGTTTGCTGGGCTTGCATGCACGATTATGCAATGACAGTGCTGTAACTTACTGCCCAGGCTTCCTAAACAAATGCTAAGCAGTCTGCTTTGGGAGTGATTTCAGACCACTTAGATTCTCAGCTCTGTGCCCTAGACCTCTCAGGCTGCTGCACTGAATTACCTGGAATAAATTCTTTGAACTCGGGCTGCCCTATCATCCTTGTTGTCTTAAGTGGGGCCATTATTTAAATGTTATATTTTTCTTGGCAGTTTCTTTGCCATGCAACTTTTTTGCTTTTACTTTGAAACCGTGCTTAAACACACAACGGAATACTTTTATAATCAATAAAATATACTTTTCTCAAGTATATTTGAAGAAGTGAAGGAACATTAAAAGAAGATCATTTTAAAAAATACATAAATTACACAGGGGATTAAAAAAAGCAACTTCTCTGCTGCTATTTTGGGTTTGTTTGGACCAGTTATCGTTCACCTCTCTACCACAGCAACTGGTCACTGCTGAATGATGTCAAACTTGGCAGATCTCCACTTGAGCCATCGGCCGTGAGAAGAGCACTACTTCAACACATTTATCTTTCTTTTGAAGTCAAAACCTGCTTCCATCTTTTGCTGCCTGCTTTTAATTTCCTCTTTCCACCTGTGATGGCAGCAGCTTCTGAGTTAGGACAGAACTTTCCCTGCTGTCCTTCCAGCAGCACCATTGCTCATCCCATGGGCAGAGTGGAGTTTCTCACCACTGCCAGTTTTGTGCTACCTGCTGGAATCCTGCTCCTGGTGGGTATTGTTTTGCTGAGAGCATGCCTCCTACTTCTATTAAATAATACATATCTGCCTTGAGATCAGCTGCATTGAGCATTTGTGGAAGTCAGGTCTTCTGTGCCTCTTGGATCCTTTGAAACACATTCCAAGGGATTCCTCTGGTTCTCTTTGAGCTGTTTTTTTGATTTTCCTAAAGATGCAATTGAGTTTGGGCATGGCAGAAAATCACTTCAGTGCAGCACTGAGACCTCAGTTTATGGGATTAAATGCTACATACAAGCTTCTTTACTTACATAACTGATATTTCTTATTTTATTACTGCACAAGCTTTTTTAAAGCTGAACTTTGAAGCTGATCCCTCTTTAACGTTTGGTGGAACTGCCCAGCTTGGTTTGTACACTGTCACATGAACAGATGCTGACATGTAATTGGTCTCCCCTGGGAACCATACCTTGTAGAAGTAGCTGGACAATTAATGAACCCACTTCGTGATAGAAGAATAGGTTTTTATGTTAAAAGGCTTCAGTGAAAAGCATGTGCTTTGTGTGTCTATTTTTTTTTTTGCTAGAACTAAAAATTGATGTACATCTTTTGACTTGAGAATTTCTGTTCAAAATATCAACTGTCTGTGGAAAAAGGAGATGGAGAAGATTTATCTGAGGACTTGTCAAAATTCTGTCCAGACATGGTGATGACAACTTCTGTGTTTTAGCTACTTATCATAATTTGTTGATGTTTTAGATACTCCTGTTTGATATTTGTATTCATGTGGCTTAAGTAAATGAGTTAGTTGGGGTTTATTCCTAATTTTACTACTGATTTCCTTTGCAACCTTATGCATAATTTTTCCAGGACATTGGTCAGTTTTGCATGATTTGTATTAGGAAGGGGGGATGAGTGTGGAGGGGTGGAGTGAGCCAATCAATCTGGACAACCTTTAGCTTTAACTGAGATCTCAGTGCTCATGTGTCCATGAAGTCATGGATTCCCAGCATGAATTAATCTACTAATGCTGCTACAGAGCACTGGGTAGGCACCATCTGGACCAAAACTAGGATAGAGAAAACCTAGCAAGATTATTAGGAGAATGGAGAGTCTATCATGAGAGAGGTAGGGCTTTGGTTCATTGAACTCAACCCAAAACTACACTATTTAAACTAGTAGGTAAAACTGACACGTAAGGCAAGCATGTAAGCTGCCATGGAAAAAGGATGGATTGCATCCAGTGGAGGGGAAAGATTTTGAACAATTCACAAATGGAGACAAGAAACTTCAAATTTGGGGTATGGAACATCTGTGAATGAGAGGTTATGTGCTGATGTTATGGGTGAAAGGGGCAGAGGGTGGCAGCTGGATCCCAGGGTGCTCCCTCCAACCTCCAGCTGTGATTGACCCTGCCTCCCACCCAGCCCCCCCCACAGGTTTCAGACAGTTTCCATCTGGTATCTTATTAAGCACTGCAGCACTCTGAGGATCTTTACAGGAGACACTGCTGCAGTGCCCATTCCTCTTGCTGCTTTGCCTGTTTTCCAAATCTTACTACCCCTGTAACAGGGATCTCTGTTAGCCAATGGCACCAATTGCTGCTCACTGGACTTGCCTGAAACCACAGAGGCTATGCCCAAAACAAGACTCTTCTTTTTTTTTTTTAAGATGCACTAACTGGTGCTAAGATAGGGTAGCTAAGTCTGTGCTTAAGTATTTTTTTTTTTAATAAATACTTGAGCTGTTCTCTGAGAGAAGTGTTGCTCTCAGGTTGGTCTGCATGTTTGTGAGCGTGGCTGCTGGACCAGCACCTTGTGCTTCTCCCTGGAGCACTGTCCTCTGCCATGATGGAATGAAAAGTGAATGGTTCTGTCTCGATGAAGCTCCTCATCCATGTCTGTGACCTCATGCTTCTCTCCCAGTTCATGATCTAAATGGTGCATCCATGCCCACTGATAACCAGTGGCCCAAGACACGTGAGGTTATGTTGTCTAACATGATTTCACTTTTCATTTTTAACCTAAATGAACATTTACTTACCAGGCTGTTTCTCCAGCTGCAAATTCCTCAGTGAGCAGGCAGAGGTTGTTGCACTGTCACAAACTGGGTTGCATAGGAGCAAGCAGCAGCACTCTGCTTCTCCTGGAGATGAGTTGTGCTATTTCAAACTATTTGACTAATCAATAAGCTGAAATCTGCATCTTCGCAGACAATATATAATATTTGCTTTGCCTCTGTGCTTTGCTTTACATTTTGGATCCTTTTCCATTAGGGTCTGAAGCGTATAGACTGCATCTAATCCAATTTATCCTGTTCATCTTGGCAATGCTGGCAATGCTGACAGCTCAGAGAAAACACTTAATTTGACTAAGTGTTTTCAGTTTGCTTCTCAAAATATTTGAAATCATTGAAGCCAGAGTACCTCTGTGCTGAGATATACAGTCCTGACCTAATTCAGCTAGTTAATTACAATTTGTAGATCCTGCAGTCTTTGCTTGTGCTGCAGGCTGAATAGGAATTTACCTGGTGAAGACTGGGCTTGGTGTTTTGAGAGTAATTTTCCTGGTTTGATGCATTTTAATACAACTCTTGAAAAAGCACTTCAGCTCTTAGAGGAAAACCAGGGACTGTTGGGTGCGTGGTGCTCTCTGTGCTGCACTGCCCAGGGCATCTACACAGAGTGCTGAGCTCTGTGCAGATGCTCCCCTGGCATACAGCTGCTTGAGTGTGTGGTGTTCATGGCTGCTTGTGTTCATCACTGCATGCTCTGCCTGAAGTTTTGGGAGGTATCAGGAAACTCTCAGCTTTCCTAGATGTTTTATGGCCTGGTTTGTCATTTGGATGCACGTTTATTGTAGACTCAAAAATGATGAAACGGGTATCTAATCCCAACGTCTCACAGATTGCATGAAAAATGCAATTGCTGAGTGGCTCAGGTGGTGCTGCTGGAATGGCCTGGCTGACTAGCTATGGTGGCTTGCTAGCACTGGAGCTTCTCTCTGGGATGATGATAACACCCGAAATGGGCAGGCACTGGAGGGCAGGAGATCATGCTACACCAAGACAGAGATAGCTTGCTTTGTAACATCAATGTGATGTCGTTTAAATCTTGTTTTTATTTTTATTTTTTTTTTTCTTTTTAAAGGATTGCCTCATGAGGTTCCTGTTCAGAGACGCATGCTGGCGGGTTGCAATGCTACTGAGAATGGAAGGTCCAGAGCTGCAGCAGGAGTAAGGAACTTGGAAAATGCAACTGGTGCGGAAGAGCGAGCAAGGTCACGTGGCACTTTGTCACATTGTTCCATTCCTTATAAATTTCAATAGCCAGTTATTTGCCTGCCTTTGGTTGGGAAACAAAGCCCCTCTTTGTGCAGCAACACAACACGGCTATCTCATGTAACGGAGAAATGAAATGCAAATAACGCAGGAATTGTGATTGTCTGGGGAAGAAGGAAGCATTGTCTGGTGACAAGAGCAGAAAAAAGTGGTGTTGCCCAGGGCTTCCGATTGTCAGCCCTAAAAGGTGGAAGAAACCACCATTTGTGGAGTCTTCTGATAACACTGACATTAAAACCTTCCATGTCCCCATTTCATCATTCCCAGAATGGGGACAAAAATTAATCTGCTCTTTTATGCAATTCAGCAAAGCACTTTAAACTGCACTTTTTCTTTTTAAGTATACAAGACGTCCAACTGCCTACGCAGAGCAACATTCATGCTGAGGTATGCAGTGGCATTGGGTCTGAATTATTTGTAAAGGACTTAGAGAATTCTGAGTGAGAGTCATTAAATTACAGAGTTAATAAACTCTTTCAGCCATTTTTTCCTTTTTAATCCATTGTCTAGAGGAAGTGAGATTTTTATGTGAAATGCTAGTATTTTCTTTATCCTTTTTGTTCAGGCATAGTACAGAATAGGTGACTACTTGAAAATCATGATGTAAAAGCAATGGGAGGCTTTGTCCCTCTGTCAGCACACCCTCACGTCCTGTTGGGTCAGGGCATTCACTTAGCCTTTTTAAGCTGTGTGTACTGACACAACAGTTTTTTGTTTACACCTGTTTTTCATCTTATTTTCCTCTTCTTTCTCCAGCCTTTTCTGCACCATCCTGCCTCTTTGCTCCTTCTGAGGTCAAATCCATAGGAGATGTTCTGCAGAGTGAGCAGAAGGAAGATGCTCATCGAAGAAGCAAGAGGTTCGTTTGGCATCACTTCCCTCAAAGAGGAATGCTAACTTGCATTGTGCACATGAGGAGCTATTCAGAGCTCAAATGGGTGACAGTCAGGGGACAGTTTGACCTCTGGCACTAGCTGGAACTGGGCAGCAACATGAGCCAGTGCAGTCATGCTAATTAATGTACCCCGAGGGGACACAATGAGGCACTGGCTTTGTACACCTGAGACATACTGCTGGCAGTGCCAAGGTGCCAACTAGAGTGTTCTCTCATAAAAACAACCCATGCTAAAAAATAAAAAATAAAAAAGGCAAAATTCCAACTTATGTATATAGAACAGGACTTAGACATAAAATGCCAAAGTGGACTCATTAATCACAAAATCTTTTGAGTTGGAAGGAACCCTTAAAGGTCATCTAGTCCCCTGCAATGAACAGGGACACTCCCAGCTCCATCAGGTGCTCAGAGCCCTGTCCAGCCGGACCTTGGGTGTCTTCAAGGACAGGGCTTCCACCACCTCTCTGGGTAGCCTGTTCCAGCACCTCACCACCCTTATTGTAAAAAAAATCCTTCATTATCCAAATAAGGAAGGATCTTCCTTAGATCCCATCTAAATCTCTTCTCTTTTACTTGGAAACCTACTCCCTATCTATATCCCCTTGTCTTCATTCTACACGTCTCACTGACACAGTGATACAAGGCAGGACAAGCTTTACTGTAATGGCCATTATTGAAGTGCAGAAGCCATGTCCCTGGTGTGGGCAGCAGCATCTCTGATAAACTGTCTTGCCTGCCTGGGCTGAAGGCACTCACACTCATCACCTCGGGGTAGCCTACTATTGGGAGCAAAGATGAACATCTGAGGCTACAACCTCTGTAGCTCACATGGGAAAGGACGCAGACTGGAGAGGACTGGTGCCAGACACAAAATGAATCCACTTCAAGAAGGGATCCACTGTGCAAGAAGGGCTCTGATTCCTTTTCTGCTTCTGGTTTAACTTTAATAGTGCATTGCTTTTGCAGGCTCTCCATTTCAAATTCTTCTATCACCAAATCTCAGCAGTCCTCAAGCTGATTATCACAACACTGAAAGTCAAGCTGTTTTTGGAGTATGGTGTGGTCTTGGCTTCATCAGATGACCAGTTCTTGATAACTGAGGCAAGGCAGCACTTTGTTCAGAACAGCTAGACTCACATTAATCTGGTTTCTTCTTCAGTAGGTGTGTTCGTGGTGGAGGGGGGATCTTATGCATGCATTCATTTGAATTGGAGTGTTTCTGATGAAGAAATCCCGAAGGCACTTAGCCCCAAGAACCTCAAAGACAAAATCGTCCCACAATATGACTTTCTCTCAGCTAGCAATGAGAAGATAAATGCTGGGATTGATACATGTGAGTATCTACCCTGCAGTATGCTACTATTCCTCTACGATTTTATCAGAGTTTAATATGGTGAAAGTACATGGCTGTATGGGGCACTACTTTACAGCAGACTGGATGGTAGGAGAGAGGAACCATTTGGCAAATCAGACCTGACCACATGGCATTCATTTGGTTAATCACCAGCTATTAAAATAGCATCAAATCATAGCAACCTATTTGTTTATCATTCAGTGCACAATTTTCTGCACAGTATATTCATAACTGCTGTACCCAAGCTAATTTTAAACGAGCCAACAAAGCCATTTTCCAGAACTCTCCTGAGAAATGGATCTGTAGACTGATCAATCTTGCTGCTTCTGGAGCTAAGCCCCCACAAAATCAGAGCTGATGACATTGGCGTTTAACTTTATAATAAGCTGATGCTTATTTATTCCCATTTTAAAACTCAGTCATTTAATTCTTTTGCATTTCTCCAAGATTTGACTTCCAGTGTCTCCAAGCAGACTTTATCACCCATGTTCTCCCTATGCATGAATGTTCAAGCACCATTGCAGACACCTTTGTGATTTCTATTAGAGACAACATTCAGCAGTTCCTTGATGCTTCCTCTCTTTTTCACCAGGAATTGATCAAATGATGAAATCCTGTTAAACTTAGAACACTAACTTTGATCCTGGTCTTCAAAGTGCTGATGTTTTATTTCTGAGGGCTGACACCTCACTGCTGGAGTCGGAGCCTTCTGTAATTAAGGAAAGCAGAACACTAGAGCTGTGGTTTGTGCAAATATTGAATTAATGTTATCGCTGAGGAAAAAAAACATGGATGAAAATGTAGTGGTAACAAAAGCACAGTGGGGTTCTGTTGTTTGTATCACAGTAGAGCTTAGGAGCCATAGTGATGTACCTCTGGTGTATGAATGATGCAAAAAATCTGAGAAATGAGTAGCACCTTCCCAAAATACCTTTTCATATGAATAAATGTAGTTCAAAATGTTCCCTCTGCTACTGTTGGTGTCCTGATCAAGCTTCCTCACCTTTAACATACCTGCAGAGAAATGAGGACAAATTTTGGCTTTGCTGACAGACCCGCTGCCCAGATTCCCACAGTGTTCATGCTCTTAGTGCCAGTGAAATAGGTGTGTGCTTATTTTTAGGGTGCAATGGGATATGATGAGACCTCAGAGCCGTCTGAAGACTAGCTGAATCGTTGGCTTGGCATTTCGTTCTGCACGTCAGTTGATTGGTCATTTTATCACCAGTTATGAAGTGAAATTAGATAATCTTGATGCCATATGGTATACAGTATTTATAGTTTAGTATGTTTTCCATACATGTGCGCTAAAGCCTGCTTCAGGGATTTGTTACGGTCCTCGTGTTTACAGGATTTGGGTCTTGGGTGAAAGAAGAAATTGACAGTTACTAATGTTTGATTTAAACTAACACATCGGAGGCCACATGGGCGATCCCTAATTAGAGTCAATTCACACTTCCCATCCTTCACCAGGGAGGCTGTCAAGACTCCATGGGACCAGATCCCATGTCCACTCAGCTCTGCTACCTCCAGCAGCCATTGAGACTGAGAATCTGTGGTGGTTGATCTCCACCCCAGCTCCTCTCCCAAACAGCCGTGGGTGTTGTAATGTCTCCTCCAAGCCTCTGACACAGGTAGGTTTCAACCTGAAGCATCGCTACGAGGATTATTGTCAGCATTAGGTTTAAGTTCAGAAATTCTTGCTTTGCATCAAAATACTCCGTGCCCACTGAAATCTTGATAAATAAGTAACTACAGGATTAATTATGTGGGACATTAGTCACTCAGTGTGTGTCATTATTTTCTCAAAACAAGACTAATGAATGCCACGAAGGGTCTGATAGAGATCTGCATTTGGAACTGACTGAAATGCAATAACATAGAAGTTTATTCTCAACCCCAATGTTATTTTCCTGATACAGGTACCTGTGCAGGGGACACTAGTAAGTTACATGGTGCAAATGCCCTCACCACAGATCATTTCTTGACTGTTTCTCAACAAAACAGATCCCCATGTGTATCTTCTGAACCAAGCTATAAGCTCCTGCAAAGCTATGGCAGGCTTCAGAGCACATGTTGGTCTGCTTCAGACCCTGGTCCCAGTCCTCATCTCTGTCTCTGCTGCCATATCTTGCTTACTCAAAGCTGAGTAGTAGCAGGCAGAACAGGAGCAGGTTGAGGATGGACTTTTTTCTCTTTTTTTTTTTTTTTTTTTTTGAAGTAGTAAGTAGTGATAATAAACTACAAACCCTGAGAGAGGAATAGCAATGTTCAGTTGCCCATAAGAACCCTGTAAGCACTGGAACAAAGAGGAGTTAATAAAAGTTGCAGTCAGGTTTTTTTGGATGGGATTCTTGCAGAATATGATTTCATAATCCGCTGTCTCTAGTGAACAACAAGACCTCTGTAAACACTCAATATTCAAATAGAAAATTGTTTCTTGTAGGCTTCCATGGCACAAAATAAAAGCACTGTAAATCTGGGCCTCCATATGTGGTTCTCAGCTGGTGTAAGTCCCTGAATGAATTACATGTGAACAGAGAAATTAATGCTACACACATGGTGGCCAAACTTAAAAGCGAAAATTGCAACTGAGAATATGCTGCAGTGGATTGTGAACTATTTGAAGATAAATGGGAGCTTGAGTCCTTGCTGATATAATGCATCATTGATGCATTTCAAGGCGTAC